GTTTGGCCCATGATAGGCAAGTACTCTACACTGAACTATATCTAACCTAACCTAGCTTTATAAATCTACTTTGAGACAAGATCTTGCTAAGTTATCCAGCCTGGCCTCCAACTTGCAATCCTCCTGCCTCATCCTCCTGAGTACCTAGGATGAAATCCTTTTTCTTTCTCTGATTTTACTGATCAGAATATATGAACCACTGCTTCCCTCTTTCTAAACAATACAAAATTCATTTCTATATTTTCTATGTTTTAAATACCCAATATGGAGCCTCCAGAAAGATAGATAACAATTAATCACAGGAAAACTTCAATATAAACTTGAGCCTCAGGAGAGTTGTACAGAACTACGTACCATCTGGTAGATACATAATCAGTATATGGTGGCTGTGACCTCAATTCTCTTGCAAGTCCAAAATCAGCAATTTTCACAAGTTCTGGGCCCATGCAAAGCAAGTTTTCTGGTTTCATGTCCCTATGGAAAAAGCCTTGGCAAAATAGAGAAGAAAAACGTAATAAATCCTTATGTTCAAACAGTTTTATTTGATTCACAAACAAAACACAACGGAATCTCTCTACTATAATTAAACATGGTGCTGGAAAAACGACCACATTTATTGATTAAAATGATGAGATGCAGGGATGCTGCTTTCAAAGTGATCTGGCAGGATCTGCACTGTCTCCACTAATGGGACAACCTTAATGAAAGCTATTGCTGTCACTACTGGGTAAGAGATGAGGAGTCAAGGCCCAGAGGGAGGAGCCTAATTAACACCTGGGGTCACCTCCTCATCAGCCTTGAGTCCTGTGACACAGTGCAGTGTAACACAAAATACCGTGAGAATAATCACTAATTTCAAAAAGCCATGGACAAAACACGTATTTTAACTTATTTCTTCATTTAAAATTATTTTAGCTCAATTCGCCCCAGCAGCTTCAGTAATGAGAAGCCCAGTGTTTTTATTACCAAGTCAATACATAAGACAGCCCAGTGCAGTGGTGCACTCCTGTAACCCCAGTGGCACAGGAGGCTGAGGCAGGAGGATCATGAGTTCAAAGCCAGCCTCAACAACAGTGAGGCACTAAGCAACTCAGTGAGATCCCGTCTCTAAATAAAACACAAAATAGGGCTGGGGATGTGGCTCAGTGGTCTGGTACCCCAAGTTCAATCCCTGGTACAAAAAAAAAAAAGAAGAAAAGAAATATAGATAGATGGTTAGTTACCCAGGATGATGGGCAGTCTAAAGAAAATGAAGCAGGAAACCCAAAGAACACGAAAGCCCTCCTAGTAGGTCGGAGTCGCAGGGAGTCCTTTCCTAAGAGCCACCTCAGGTTTACTGTTGGATACCAATGGCTCGGACTCCGAGGCCTCGCCAGTTGGAAGAACTGTAGGTGATTTTTATGAGAGGATTTTGTGCAGCTTTGGGGCTAGGATTTTAAAGCCTAAACATTTTTAATCACTTCAAAGCCAGTGACATTAATCCATGAAATCAGCAAACTAACCAATTACATATTTATATAACTGAGATTTTCCTCCATGCATTCTAATCTACTGGCAATATTGTCCTGTTTTAACAAATTATTGGTCTTGTTCTTAAACAGGTACTATTAAAGTATCTCTTTTATCACAAAGTATTACATCTGA